GGGGAGTGGGAGAGGGAGAAGCAGGCTTCCCGCGGAGCAGGGAGCCCGATGCGGGGCTTGATCCCAGGACCTGAAATCATGACCTGAGCCGAAGGCAGACGCTTAACGACTGAGCCACCCAGGCGCCCCCAGAAAATACTTCTTTGCAAGGATATATGAATTAACCTATCTTTACATTTGGTAGGCAAGAAGGTAAGAGTACTCCTGATACGGCAGATAATGAAGAACTAGAAGAAGAGGTAGATGACGGTCCATTGCTGGTTCCTCGAGTAAAAGTGGCAGAAGATGGTTCCATTATTTTGGATGAAGAAAGGTAAGTTAAAAAAAAAGACTGTGGTTTTCAAACCTCAGAACAAATGTGCTTTGTTTAATGAGAGAGAGAGTTTCTGCATTAGTCATTGTCACTTAGACACTGATAATTGTATTTTTCTAATGGGTATTGTAAATGGAAAAGTGAGTTAGATTAATTTATAATTTTTAGGAATTTTTATGCTATGTTTTGTATGAAAAGATGGTACTTCTGATCTATCATCCATTAACTTACCACCATTGTTTACTGACTTTACTGGTAATTGGGATGAGCTACTGAACTAATCATATGCTGGCCTCTACTGATGATGGATTTCAAAAATTGATTCAATCTTGAAGTCAAAATTCAGGTTTTCATATTATTAACTAATACCATGTTTTGTTGTTTGGTAATAAGTAATGAAAATGCAATGAATCATAGGTTTAATATTCTGTGATTTCTGTTATGACAAGGTTTAATTCACCTTGTAGTTTAATTTCTCAGTTATAACATTAAATTTTTCAAATTTGGCATTGTGGAATTTGTTGTTTGTCCAAAGTATGTTTTTTTAAAAAGAAGATAAATTCATAGGTAGTAAGTAAAAAAAAGGGGGATAGAAAGTCTTCCGACAGTTTAGTTAGTTAAAAAATCTTTTTATAGCATATAAAATTCTATGATAATTAAACATTAATGCAATACTATTAGTAATTGTTTTTGTGTGTTTTATATTGTGATGATGATTTTACTGGTCATTAAATAGTTAAAAGTATTGAACTGCTTTGTGTATAGGAACATAGAACATAAATATCAAATACTTACATTTCTCGATATTTTCTGCTGGGTCTAGCATGATAAGAAAATATATATTAAATATAGGAGACATTCATAAGTTAATAAAATAAATAATTTTTTGGTGGCCCAAAGATAATGTATAAATTTTGTATTGCTGTTAAAGATTTTGGAAAAATGTTAGCATTTATTTTTATTCCTTGGCAATCACATTTTAAATGAAAATTAGCAGATTCTTAGAAAATATGCATACCTCATATGTTATACTTTTGATATGATTCTGCCATGGTAAATTTCAAAATATAACTATTCAGATATCATTTATTATTTTTCTCTGTTTTTAGTGCAGATCTATTTAAAAATGTGTCTTTTTCAGTTTAACTGTAGAAGTTTTAAGGACAAAAGGCCCCTGTGTGGTTGAGGAAAATGACCCCATATTTGAGCGTGGTTCTACAACTACATATTCCAGCTTTAGGAAGAACTATTATTCTAAACCATGGTCAAATAAAGGTAACTAATTTTCATTTTATTTATTATTTTTTAATTTTTTTTTTAAAAGAATTTATTTATTTATTTGACAGAGAGGGAGAGTTAGCGAGAGCAGGAACACAAGCAGGGGGAGTGGGAGAGGGAGAAGCAGGCTCCCCACTGAGCAAGGAGCCCGATGCGGGACTCGATCCCAGGACCCTGGGATCATGACCTGAACCGAAGGCAGGTGCTTAATGACTGAGCCACCAGGTGCCCCACTAATTTTCATTTAAATTGTGTAGGTTATTTCTTTGAAATAAAGTGAATAATTTTCTTTAAGTAAATAAAACACAAACCTTGTTATTTTCTCTTTAGCTAATTTTATTGGCACCTTCCAGTGGGGTCCCTCTCCCGATACCATAGAACTATATCTCTGGCTTTATCTTAGTAATGTTTTTAGGAATATTCCTCTCTGTCAATGCCCTGTATAAAAAAGAAAATTTTTGTGGAAAATTAATTATATTTTTAATACTCATAATAATGTTATACCTTCATTGTATAATAAGGTTTGTAAAGGTAAAAATTAGGCTGTTAAAAAAGCATGTAATACCTACTGAATGGTATTGCTTATTCTTAATAAAAATAATGTAAGTTGTTTTGGGAAAAGAAATTAAACACAACAGAATAATACAGGGCAACAAGAAAGATTCTATACTTCCCTCCTTTGACTTCTGCAATCCTATTCTGTTGAGGTTACTTCTATTAGTAGTTTCTTATGTGTTTTTGTAGCCACTTTCTTTCACATACTAATTAGCACAGCTCAGTTGCTTCCATTAAAGCAGTAATATACTGGCTGTGACTGACAGTTTGGTCACTTTGACACCAGAAAGGCAGACTGTTATTGTAGTTGTCTTTTTTTTTTTAATATTCCAGCTGCTTTGGTATGAACATACAAATTTCTTTTATCATGTTCCTGTATAAAAGTTTAGAGATGTTTGAAATTCATGAAGTTCTTTGTAATAAAATTGATTAAAGATTTCCTAAATACTATTAAGTATTCTCAAATTTATTTTTAACTCAAAATGTATACTTAATCTAAGATTTTTTCCTCTGACATACTGAGATTAATTTTCATTCTTTCTAAATCTTTTATTTTTACAGAAACAGATATGTTTTTTTTAGCCATCAGCATGGTAGGAACTGACTTTTCTATGATCGGACAGCTTTTTCCTCACAGAGCAAGGATAGAAATTAAGGTAAAGTAAACCCATTACATTCATTGATTGGAAAAGGTCCAAAAATTACAAATACTATTTTTTTTAACTTTTATTTAAATCTCAGTCCATCCTTTTTCACTACAATGTTTTGGGTAGATCTTTCCCCTTGTATAGCTCAGAAAGTAATGAGATATTGATTGTAATATGAGTAGAGTCTCCTTAGTTTTAACATATTATTTATATGTTGCCCACTTCTAAAATGGATTTGAGGGAGTACCAATAAAACCAAAGAAATTAAGATAAAAGAAGAGCTAAGTAATGAGGAGAGAAGATAAATGTACCAGAATATTTGGGTTAAGGATAGCTTCTGAACACAATGTGTTTCTGAATTTCCTTGGAAGGCATGGAGAGAAGCATGGTAAGTTAAATAATTCTCTTTATCTGAACTAACCATTGTTTTCCTAGGCTATCTTAACTTTTTAGACAGTGAGGGACACTATTAACAACAACAGTGGTGTAAATTAGTGCTTTAATATGCCTGAAAGAATGAGCATTCTCTGTTTTATTGTTCTTTTTGCGAGAAACTTAATTACAAGTTTCCTGGGATCAAGTGCATTTGAGTGCACGCTATGTTGCTGTAATGCATTTCCAATTTATGATGAGATCTTATTCAACCATGGGTTTTTTTCTTCATTAATTAAAAGAATATTAGGATAGATTTTTTTTTCTTGAACTAGACCAGGCATGGATCCTTCGCCTGTGGACCATGTACAGTGTAATGGTCGTTCTATTTCTGCAAAAGATGAAGAATTGTTTATATTATTTATGTTCCTTTTCTAATGTTGATCTTTGTAAAGAAAACAAAATGTTAAAGCTAGAAATTTTTTTTTTTTTAGGATTTTATTTATTTGAGAAAGAGAGAGAATGTGAGAGAGAGAAAGAGCATGACGAGGGGAAGGTCAGAGGGAGAAGCAGACTCCCTGTCGAGCAGGGAGCCTGATGTGAGACTCGATCCCAGGAGTCCAGGATCATGACCCGAACCGAAGGCAGTCGCTTAACCAACTGAGCCACCCAGGCGCCCTAACACTAGAAATTGATTATCTAGGGGAGCTTTCTGATCTGAGTAATTAATGATAAGTTTGTCACTAGACTATTTCTCTCAAAAATTATTTAGACTCCTCCCCTAAGTTTAGTGTAGTTCCAACAGGTCTTTGGGCAAAGTATAGAAAAGTGAAAATGGACTAGTCAGTTATATTGATTTTCAAGTGTTGAACCAAACTTGTATTATTCTTTTTGTATGTTGAATTTTACTGTATTTTCTTGAGGGTTATTTTGCATTTTTGTTCATGAGGGATATTTTGTAATTTTTTTTTTAATGTCTTTGTCCAAAATGTTTTGGAACTAGGATTATGCTGGTCATAGAAAATGAGTTGGAAAGTGTTTCCTCTTTTATGTGAACAAATTTAAGATTAGTGGTATTTCTCCTTTAATGTTTGATAGAATTCAACAGTGAAACCATCTGGGCCTGTAATTTTCTTTGCAGGAACAATTTTGATTATAAATTCAATTTCTTTAATACCTATAGGTATACTCAGATTTTCAGTTTTGTCTTGTGTCAGTTTTGATACTAAGCTGTTGAATTTATAGGTATGAAGTTTTCATACTGTTTACTGAAATTTTTAATGTGTGGTGGATAGTCCTCTTTCATTGATAATTGATGTTTTCCTTCTCTCTCTCTCCCTTTTTTTTTCCTTTTCTTGCTAAGGGTATTTTGACTTCCAAAAATCTTTTTAATGAACCAACTTTTAGCTATATGTTTTCAATTGTGTGTGTATTTTCATTTTTTTTAACTTAACATTTCCTTTCTTCTATTTACTCTGCCTTTAATTTTCTCTTTTTCTAGCTTCTTAAGATGAAAATTTAGATTGATTATAAGCCCTTTTACTTTCCTAGTTAGACATTTAAAGCTACGTTTTCATCTGAGCACGGCTTTACTTGCATTTCATAAATTTTGATAGGTTGTTTTCATTATTCAGTTAAAAACACTGTCTAGTTTTCCTTGTGATTTCTTACCTTACATGTAAGTTATTTAGAAGTGTGTTGTTTAATTTCGTAATATTTGGGACATAGCTAAATATCTTACTATTTTCTAACTTAATTCCATTGTGAATGTCAAATAGCAATCTGTAAGATTTCCATCTTTCTGAAATTTAATGAGATTTATTTTAAAACCTGTTGTACTTATCTTAGTCAGTATTCCTGGTGCACTTGAAATGAGTGTGTACTCTGTAGTTGTTGGATGTGTTACCTAGTTCTATCAGTTAACTGAGAGAATTGACATCTGCAACCATGATTATAGATTTGCCTGTTTCT